CGCCGCTTTCTGCAGACTTGCAACGCAGTGTTTCAAACAGCTACAAGTTGCCTGACCTAGCCGACTTTCCGTTCCACCACTCCTTTTGACGTGGACTATGATTAAAGTGTGTGTCTGAAAGTGCCGAGCCCCTGATATGCCAAGCTTCTCGAACAACGCTGCCTCCCGAGGATCGCCCAGCATGCGTCCCCGCACCCAGCGCTCCGGGTGGCCCAGGTCCCGACCTGACCCAGGGAAGGCGGTGGAACATCGACGGTCATGTTCACCGCATGCATCCCCATGCACTGTCATATCCTGGCAGTTGGATGTTCCAAACCCCCAAACACTTTAAGCATGTTGAACAAAGAATGTGGAGTGCGAGAAAATCAAACATCTCAACGAAACCTGGCAGCCTCCACAGCGTGCTTGTGGTCATTATCACGATCGGGAACAGTATGGTGCTGAACATGTTTCCATGAACAGCCTTATTTCAACAGGAACCATGCGTCCTTGGGCTTCTTGGGTTTGTGTCTGGAACAAGGTTGATGGGAGCTGGCAAATCGGGTCTCAACAGCTCTGTTGGCCGCAATTGAATCATTCATTAGGTCAGTCTTGGGGTTGCTCCCGCGATTGACTGGAACTAACTTCTCATTGATCAACTGGTTCATCCGAGTATTGGAAAAGCGATGAAAAGCGGTATCCGGTATCCCTTGCCCCCATGCGATCCCATCAAGAGCAGCCCCGCACCCGTCACCCGCCCTGGTTCTCCTCCCAAAACGGTCGAAATCCGAGCGTCGAGCATCTCCACAATGTCCAATGCTGGTCTCATCATGGGGGAACTCCGGATCCACGAAGGCCTCTGGATCGTCCTGGTATCGCACACAGGCAGCCAGTGAAGGCAACAAGGCGGGAGAGTCGAAGCACATAACGGGGATGTGGAGCTTGTGGGGTGGTATGGAACATGCATCTTGCTCATACTTCACCTCCCCCAAAAAATCATCTTGTTAGGATATGTTAGGTCTCGGATTTTTGCGACAGTCCACTGGTGAAGCATAGCTTTCTCCCGAAAAGCCACCGCAAGATTCTGGGTCCGCCCCGCTGTCCTCGAGCGCCGAGGAAAGGCGCGTCTCGGATCGATTGAATACGGTCCTGGAAGGAAGTGAACTCCGAGCGGCAGGCCATTCGCCAGGAATAGGTAAACGGTTCGCCCTGCACCAGGAGCACCGTCTTCGTCAAGGTCTCACCGGGATTCAACCTGGTGAACACATGGAAGGAAAAGCACTTCCGTCACACGTTTGTCTGTCCAGTCGAAGTTACATTTCCTGAAGTCACTTCTCTCAGGCAACATGTGGCCTTCATCTGGTTTGTACTTCAGCTGCTTCGACTGCTTGCCCCAGAACGGGGCAAAGCGAGGCCTGCATGGGAATCCAAGGTGCTTACCCTGTGAGTCCCAAAAGTGGACAACGCTCCAAGTTAAGAGTCATTTACGCTTTGGATATGCTATATCTAGTCTATATACTTGTGAGAAAAGAGTAGCAGGTCCAGCTGAACTCAGTTGAACCACTTCAGGATCTTCAGGCCTACCTGGTAGTTCTGAACCATGAGGTCTGTGGGTCCATGAAGACCGGAAGAGCCCATCACGTTCCCTCCATGAGATCCACCCTCCATGAGGTCTCGCCAAATACATGATTCCCAGCCAAGCAACACCAAGCTCACGGGATTCCCTTCGGGACATGCAACCTGTAGGATCCGATGGTTGGACGTTGGCGTTGGTGGTTTTCTGCAGCAGTTTGAGGGGGCATGTTCATCACCGCCACATGGATTTGCGGGAACATGGGGCAAAACACATCGAGTTCAAAACACATATAATATTATCATGTCAATTGTTGGGTTTTGGGGGGACCTTGTTGATCTTTGGGTGGCGGTCACGCATTCTCTCTATTGTGAGGTGCTGACTAGTAGCGTCCTACTTAGCGTCCTTGATCCTAGCAGCGATTCCCTTCTTACTAGTAGCTTCTTGTTACTAGTAGAACATTCAGAAGCTACTAAGAGTAGCGATGCCCTTGTTACTAGTAGCTTCTTGTTACTAGTAGAACATTCAGAAGCTACTAAGAGTAGCGATGCCCTTGTTACTAGTAGCTTCTTGATACTAGTAGAACATAGTAGAACATTCATAAGCTACTAAAAGTAGCGATGCCCTTGTTACTAGTAGCTTCTTGTTACTAGTAGAACATTCAGAAGCTACTAGTAGCGATGCCCTTGTTACTAGTGCCAACAAACTATTACAGTAAGTTCTGACCCGAAGCTTTCACCTCGTGGGCCTGTCTCACTGTCTCAACTCTATGGCACCTTGTTATTCCATCTTTGAGTAGCTAAGGAATCCATGGGCCTGTTGTTCTCCCAATGACTGGGTCATGTGGAAAAGCCCCCCCCCACGACTCCGGTTGGTCCCCGCAAAACGATTACACCAAAGCCAAGGGTAGCTCGTGATTGGTTGAACCTCGCAAAATATGAAGCATTCCTATCACTTCAACTTCAACTGCTCAAACAAGAAAACATCAATAGTTTGCAAGAATACTTGGAAATGCAGTTTTTGGCAAGATTTCGTCAACATCGCAAACCGAAGGGGCCCCCTCTTTCTTTGCAATTGGATTTAGTCAATTAGAGTGCCTTGTTTTACTGTGATGACACAGGCGTCATACCTTCCGTTCAGCTTGCATCAGTCACGTGTCGGGGACAACTGGTCCGATGTTTTTCGATATGTGTCGCTCGGGCCTGGCGGTTTCACCGACGACCCTGGGCGAAGCGGTCAAGCACCGACGCCGGGCCTGGTAGCTTCTTGTTCCTAGTAGTAAGGCCAGGAGCCCCTAGTAGCGTCCTTGTTACGCTTGTTACTACTAGTAAGGCACTTGTTACTTGTTACTAGAAGCGATGCACTTGTTACTAGTAGCTTCTTGTTCCTAGTAGTAATAGTAAGGCCAGGAGCTACGTTCGTAGCGTCCCAGCTCCGTTCGTAGCGATGTCCCTTACGAACGGAGCTTCTTGCCGGGTCACATGTTCTCGGTCGCTGAAGGTCAGTGTAAAGATTTGCCTTGTTCGGTCACTGGTATTGGTCAATGTCACATCGATGCTGCCAGCGCCGTCGTGGACGGTCCTCGGTTTCCTACGCCAAGCGTAGGTTCAAGGAGGATGAGTTTTTATTGGAGCACCTTACAGTCCTTACACAATCAGCAAAGAGTGGATGAGGTAACCTCCCTCTGCAGCTAATCCCCGCGTCAATCGCATTGGAGGTCTGTAGCGAGCCATCACGAAACGGCCGAGCTGCTCTGCGAAAAGGGGCTCCTGCTTGGCAATCCAAGCCTCAAAGGTAGTCAACAGTGGGTAGAGGGACTATTTCAGGGTGAGTGAGGTTTATGTCAGGGCCTTCGAACAAGTGCTCATTATGAGCAGGTTGATGTTTGGCCGGTGGAATTCTGACATTATTTCCCCTTGACTTCCAGTAAGGCAGTGTGACACTACTAGAATTTTCATGAACTTTCACTGTTCGTTGGAATTTGGAAAGGCGTGTTGATGAGACTCTGGTGGTTTCTTGGAAGACAAATCAATTCAGCAAAAATGCCGCTTCCCCAAATGTGCTGCTTCCAGTTCTCTAGGCAAGACCTATGAGCTATCAGCCCACCAGTGGCCAACAGTCAAGCCGGCACAGCCGGTTGTTGTCGACCAACATCAGGCTACCTACCTGCTACCTGGGCGAGAGCTATTTTTGTTCCCGGCAATGTTCCATGGTCACCCAACTCACCCGACACAAATGCCCATTGGCAAATATCGGCAGCTTGTGACTGGTGATGCGTGGGGCGGCTGGCCCTGCTCCAGGAAAGATCGTAGAGATCCAAGAATTGGTTTAAGGAGAAAACTTACAGGAAACCCAATATTGCTAGAGGGGTTACATCGACCTAGCGATGCCCAGTCTACGATCAAAGTAATATAAATAAGCAATGAAACATTCAAAGGTATGCCAAATTTGCTCTTTAGCAACCTTACGTTCACTAATTATGTAACTTTGGCTTTTGGCAAAAGTGCACTTGTCCTGGACGCGGAGCATGATCTTCAACCCTGTTGCTGATCTATAATCAGGAGGAAGTGACTAGAAGTGCTTATTCAGTTTGGAAACGAATCGCCTCCGTGCGATCATCCATTGTTTCTAGGAGATGCAGGATTTCATTTGGCCTGTCAATGAGAAGGGTCGGGGATTCACATGTGCGGACGCATCTGTCACCACGAACTGGGAGTTTGTTTTGAACTGACTCTACACTCTGACTCGCTACCATGGAAGTGAAAAACCTCGTGTTCGTACGGAAAGTAGCCTTCCCAGCAACATTCTTGCACTTCAATCTTATTGAGTCAGAGTGTCGCCAGATTTAATCACTGTATTGTTTGAAGGGACAAAAGGTTGCTCCGGGTATCGATTCATTCAGCGTACTTGTTTTTGATTGGAGGTACGCCAGTGTGTTTGGGGGTTTCCTAAATGCCATGAGCAAAAAACATATATTGGGCCAATAAGGCCCAAGAATGGAAGGAATATCCACATTTGGTGGGTGCGTTCCACGACCTTGCCTTATAATCTATAAACAATAATGCGTAATCTTGAAGAACCAAGCCATCACCGTCTTGCTTCGAGCAGCCAAAAACTCATGGACCTGGATCTTGCCATCTTGATTCCTCAAAAGGTCGAAACGGAATGTCACGATTTACAAGACGTCTTCGGAGGTGGTGATGTCCAATGTCTATAATATGTCTTGGAGACAAACTCGATCTACAAAGAACTCTGCCTTTAGAAGAAGCAAACCAGGATTCGTCCACAGCAGTTCTATTTCCGCTGCTAGTGGTTTTGTTGCGGGTAGTGATGGGTAGTGCTTGCGCTGGCAACAAAGCAAAGCAAACCTATAGCTATCCCACATGGTCCAGGTGTTGAGACGACCAACACATCTTCTCACTGATCCCGGAGCTCGCCAGGCATCCCATCAGCCGCCAAGCATCCCATCAGCCGCCTGGACCAAGCGTCCAGCATCCTCTTCTCTGAAGCCCAGCGCTTTCAACAGCTTTCGCATCTCTAAGTCCTTGGTGACGTTCCGAGACCCTAAGTGACAGGAGGGACCGATGAAAGGGAGGTTGGTTCCTGTGTGGATGGGGCATCGCCGGGCAGAGCGTGGGTGAGGAGTGAGCACTATTAAGCTTTGTGTATGCTTTCTCTGGCATGCAGCTTTCGGCCTCACGACAAATGGTCCAATCCCTGAGATCGTACTGGTAGTTCTGCCGTGCCGGTTGTTCTGTTCATTCATCTTTCGTCACTCTTATTCCAAAAAGAGACATGTGACATGTGCCAGAAGCAAATCAAACATATCAAAATGGGTCATGGGTCCCAATGGGTGGAAGGGATCATAGGGATCCAAATGGATCCGGGATCCAATCGCACCCTCTCTGTTCCTCTGTTCCTTCTCCCAGTGGCAGAGAGGATCCCATCGCCTGACTGATCGAAGGCCTCAAAAGCTTCTTGCAATCGCCGCGCCGCCATGAAGGTCGACACCGCGCAACCGCGGTGTGATGCTACCGGGTAGCTGGAGCCGAAAAAGGAGAAGCGGTGGGAACTGGATGGAGGACCTTTGGCCGAACTGGTCCAACTGGTGGCAAAATCATGTTTTGCCAGTTCTTTCAGGTCTTGTCCGGATCTGGGTCTGGCAAACTCACGAGCTGACTTCACTGAGCTGGAAACCCCAAGACTTCGCACTGCAAATCCACCCAAAACTGACATCATCCGGCGGTTCTCTGCCGTGCTCCTCGCGGTCAACGAAGCCTGTCCTGTCTTTGTCCATGACCTGCACCGTGCATCCAACCCGGTTGGCACTACGTTTTGGGCGTCTGGTGTTTCTCTGAGTGTTGGTCGGATGGACGACGATCAGCATGCGTTTGCATGCAACATTTGAGATGCTTCTGCACTCTTTCAAGGGCCTCTGTTTGGTCCAGTACTATAGTGAAATGCAAAATATGATGCACATTTCTTCTTCAAGAAGCTGCACGTCTTAAACTCATGGTATTGCATCCAAGCGACCATCAAAAGGCCTCAGCGCCATGCACAAGGTCACAACCCACCATTCCAACTACCAGTGGTCTACTTCCGACGGCAAGGGCTCGCCTGACTCGGGAGCTTCCTGGCGGCCCCGTCCTTTGTGGTTCGGTGTGCTCCACGTGTCCGCCCTCCGTGCTCAGATGCAGGTGCCAAGGCACTGTAGATGTGGTCTTCCACGGTGATCCTCAGGTACTAAGGCATGAGGGGAAGTGCTCCAGGATTACCAGTTTTCGCTATTTCTTTCTGGAAGGAGTTGCCACAACAAACTCACGACATGAAATAGTGATCCTCATAAAGAATGTTTATCAGTTCTGTAGGTTTTATATTATTGAGCAAGCATTCCTTACATCTGAACTCTGAAACTGGTCATTCTAGAAGAGAGATTGGGCATGAATCACCAAATGAACAGTTTAGAACACTTGCTTCCGGCCTTGAGCGATGACCGATTTCAAACCGCCAACATCACATGAAGCAGCCATCCCCATCCAAGAGCACTGGGAACCTCCCACTTACTAGCGATGGCCTCCAACCTAATACTGGACAAACCGTTTCGGAGCCCTGCAGAGACCACTGCGCATCGTCGGAATCTCCAAGTGTCTTGTCGGAGGAATCATCGCCGAATCCACCTGAGTGTAGGTGATGTCTGGCACCCCTACAGGCGATTGCTGGATCAGCGCCATATGGTGCAATTGTCCGGTGCCATGTGCTCCCTCAGACGTAATGAAATCAATGGTCCAATCTCGCATCAAGCTTTTGATTTCGACACAGCAGTTCATCTTGCCAGTCCATGGGCATGGGCATGTTCATTCTGGAAGTCCATTTCGCCGTGGCTGCGATTGTCACCCCATCACCCGAAAATGAGAGGGGTTTGTCATAGTTGGCTTCCACTTCTCACCAACCCTCCATGACTTTGGCGACTTTGGCTTCCCGTGCGCCTGTCACCCTGCGCTTCGTTGAAAACCGCTTCGCTTCGCCAAGACACCCGCCCCGCGGAGGAGCGGCCTCAACTCTTGGTACGACAAACGGCCATCTCCTCAGCTGAAGGTCCGACTCGGGGGACGTCCCGCCCGCTGGACCCGCCGATTCTCACGGTGGACCAGTGCAAAGACTTGGTTCATGGACTGGCAGCTGAGAGCTCTGGAGGGTTCTGACACACAAGTGTCAGAACATGACGTCAAGACTCCTCACACAGAACATGACTTTGAAAGCGCCCGTACCTGTGAAGATCTCTGATTTTATTGTGTATATATATATATCTCTCTCTCTCTCTCATTCCTCTGGGAGCACCTTTTCTGGAGCACCCGCTTCCGTTCATGTAGCTAGTAGGTGGAACGCTTTGGACCTAGGCCCTGGGACAAAACTTTTGCATAAATACTTCAGACCACTGCGTTCTTTATTCCACAGTACGCTTGACACCTCGGCCCATACCAAAATGAAGGTGATTGGGATTGGAGATTGGAGGCCATCGCTCTTAGGTTGGAGGCCATTCCTCTCAGGTTGGAGGCCATCGCTATTTGGTTGAAGCGCCGCGCCGAAGCGATCGCCACCACTGCGGCCCAGGAGCCATTCCGGTCCACGGTGGACCATGCTTTCTCGATGTCTGCTTTGGACTTCACTCCAGGCAAAATGGCCATCATGGAGCCTGTGCCAGGTCAAACGAAACTGATTGAAGAGAATTGCAGCATAAGATCTGAACATGTTAAACATGACTCTGACTGTCATTTGGTGCTCCTGCAAGCACTTCAAGTGGGAGATCGGAGACCAAAAGCTCATCATCCAATATTTAAATATCACGTATATAATCTGGCCAATACCAACAAAATCGGGTGATGGTCCCACACCCATCCCTGGATCGACACCGTTTCACGGCCTCCGTAGAAACGATTCGCCAACTTTCGTGCCAGGGAGTTCCTGACGCAGAGGGGAAGGTCCGTCCCGATCGCGGACCGCCACAAACACACACTCGAGTCACTCGAGTGTTTTTGAATGTATGATTGGTGATTCTTCATGACCATGTTGATGAACGGCTTGGCCTAGTGTCATGTGAGGTAGCCAAACCAAAAGCAGGGGTCAGCAGCAAAGAGTTGAATGGTCTAAGGCTGCAGATTCTGAGACTTCCAAACCCACTTCCAACTCAAAGTCATAAGACCCAAAAAGGGATCGAGCAATCCATCAATCAGAGCCGCTGGGGTGAATCCGCATAGCAGCATATCCCAACCTCAAGGAATCCCGGTTGCACATACCGCTCACCGGAGACTAATTGATGTATCCATCTTTTCTGTAAGTTCATGTAAGTTCCCAAGCACCCATGGACCATGGATAAAGCAAGGTCAGTCATTGCATTATAGCTCAATCCCTGTCAATCCTCCGATCGACTCACTACATTCCGTCCACGTCGACGGAGTCCGAACCGCCCAGCGGCCCGTACTGCGAGAGGAAGACGGCGTAATTGAATTGATCGCCATGGGTTCGCCTTTTTTGTGCGGAGATGAATGAAGGCGATGGAGTCAGGGGACTGATGGAGGGGAGTCATGGGTGGAGGCTTTTTGAGCATAGTGCTGTATGCAACAGTAAGCTGGTTGTTGAGGTTCAGGATTGGGCGATAAGCATACCAGCCAGAGGGGTGAAACAAGTGTCAGCAAGTCACCGAGAAACCGTCCCCAAATGTCTATAAAGATCCAATGTATATAAAGTGTTTGGCAAGCAACCGTGCGCAGCAGGTTTGTTGAACATCCCACCCCTCATGTTCGTTGCCCATCAGGTAACACCATGACCGTTGGTGCAAGGTGCATGCGCACCTGTGGCTGTGTAGCATTAAGTGGTGGGAAAACTATGTGGCCGACACTGACGCTGGAAGGGTTCTGGACTTTCTGAGGTAAACCTGCGAAACCTCCAGGGCCTTTGGCCTATCCAATGCAAAGAGCCACTGCGCAGAATATGACCATACCATTGACCATACCCTTAACTCCAGGGAAAAAACCCTGCAATGAACTCAAATAAATACTTGCAACTTACTTAAGCACACACACTGGTAAATGAAATCCCACAACCCCGTGAAGCCAAAGGACAGCATGTACGGCTCCAGCCATTCCTGAGCATGGTCTTCAAAAAGCATGATAGGAAATCATTGATGATCATTATCGTTTTCTTGCCTCACAAATGCAAATGTCATGTTATAGATCCAAAATAGTCACAATTCTTCCCAACGCTTGAATTGCTTTGGGGGTTAGAATGAACACGAAGCAACTTCCAGAATCTACAATGTGTTGTATTCTATTCCAGTTCTTTCTCCGCTGTTTCATGGTTTAGCCACTGCTTCTCTTTGAGATGATTGCTGCAGTTTTGCCTGACTCGACCTGTTTTCCAAATACACAAACTGTATCTAAAATCTGTTAAACTCATCATTCCAAAACATAACAAACTACTCCAAACAAGTGTTCGAGCAGGTGGTTCATTGGGCGCGCTGGGATTGATTCATGTGAATTGCTTAGGGGGCCAAAATGAAGTGAAATTACACTACTATTTACCATCAATTTCCTTTGCCACCCTGTCCAACATCAATTCAACAAAAAGATTCCGGAGGAGAGAGCTGGCTTCCCTAGTACCGCTAGCACTACCAGCAAACCACCACCATCAGCGGCAACAACTGCCACTCCGAATTCTACTTAGCACTTATGCCACTAGGATTCTCGGGGACTATCTCTGACTCTTCCGCAGTTGCTCCGCCGGCAGTTGACAATTCAAGACCCAACTCCCTGATGGCGAGTCATCAATCAGTTCCATAGAAAAGTAGGTCCCTCTCCCACATCTATTGAACACAGTTCCTATCTGTTGGGGACCACTTTAGCCAAACAACTTACAACTGGAGTTCTCTGGGTCAACTCTGACATTGCTTACGGCAAAACCACTGGCAATTGCAGTTAACACCCGGACACCGGCCCGGAGATGTCCACGGTGTCCAACACAAATCACCGTAAGATGGCGGATCGAACAAAGGAAATTGGCCATGGGGAGCTACAGCTTGCCAAGCACAAAGCCATCTCAAGATTTTTCGGATTTACAGGGTTCATGACTCTGACCCTCCCTTCTCAGCAAGACCAGAAACGCGCGGGATGTCTATACTTGCCGAGGACAATAAGGTGTTTATGACAAAGCAAAAATGGAAGTTCAGCATGTTCCGGGTGTTTAAGGGGGTGGGGGTCTCTTGCTGAATGTGAAAGGGTACGCCGAGGTGTGGACCACTTGAGGCGACCAAACCGAGTGACCAAGTGAGACAGTTTGGGACTCCTGAACTCCTGAAACCTGTTCCTCTCCGAAGCTGATGCAGCTAAACCATGGAGGATCCAGGCATTGGATTCTGTATCTCATCCATGATGCCAAACAGGACCCTTTTCAATTGGCCCTGAAGAAAAAAGCAAAGCTATTCAGAAAAGTGAGGAAGCCACCCGAATTCCCTGAGACTTCTCCGAAGGCGTCTCATGCGCATCGCGCGTGTTGTTCCAGGCGACCCATGGGAAGTCATCATCTGAGATGACCACCGCGCGCATGGCTGTCGCCTTGGTGGGGAAGGCGCAAAGGGAAGTCTGCATCGCTTTTAGATGGATGTGTCCAGCTGTGTCAGCTGGAGTGATTCCTTTTGGACCCGCGAGCTCGATCCAAATCCAAGTGGTGGCTTGTGGCATCAAGTCTGTACCACTGTTTATGCCTCTTCCCAACCGCATAGGTAGGACCCCCACATGGTTCAACCACATGTCAACCACTGTCCGGTCTTCCATGTCAGTATGGGCCCTCGTGAAACACATGACAAGGCCAGCGAAATCTCGTGGACTGGATAGCTGGCCACAGCTCAGAGTTCCACATAGCTGGCCACAGTCTTCTCCTTAATTTAGATGGCTGATAAATAGACCCCCCTTCCAGAATCAACCAAAGGTTTTACTATACAGTTTTGCATGGAGGGTTTATCATATCCTCAACAGCCTACATTGTGATACATTAGAAGTACAGTTGATCGTTTCCCGGAAACCTTGTACCCTCTGATGTTACACTGCTCCAAGGAAAACATATATACAGTAAAGGAATGGAAGAATTGGCACCAATATCAAACGCAACCTGTTTCTGCGGATGACTTGGGTAAGCTGCTTCCCGGCCCTCAGCTAGATGTTTGCCATGATGTTCGATTCCGAAAAACGGCCACTAATTACAAGTTGCCAGGATACATTAGGTATAGTGAGCCAGGTGATCACATGTTGTCCTCGCCCCCTGGAGTAAGTCACTGAAGTCATCACCTATAGGACTAGGACCTATCAACCCCCCAGCAAGTGCTCTGGGCGAACGTTTGGCCTGCTCCCCACACTGTCTATGCGAACTTGGGGGTCCACTCCATCAACGTCCATGACAGGTTTTCACTTGTCACTTGCATCCCAAAAGCACTGCAACCGAGCCATGGATTCCAAGGACGCATTCCGCGTCATCCTCAAGTACAACCGTGCACGACCCATCTCCCTGAAGACCCCGGCCCAGTGTTCCTTGGAGATGGTGCCATTCCCCTGGCGTGGCCGACTCGGTCTGTGGATGTCTGTGGGTTGTTGACGACATGGCCATGTTTCTCGGTCCGAAATGAGCATCTCTCCAGGTCCAGTTGTCTGGCGCACCGCAAGCCGGCAGAAGTATGTTTACTTAATTATGCGTCACGAGTCGAGTCTATCCAAGCCACAAACTGGTGGGAGTTCCAGGATTTTGTTCATTTGCTTTAGCATGGACCGTTGCCAAAAACTAAAACATATTGGAGTCTTCCGCTGCAAAACACACCTGCGAGGTAGTCACTCGCCGTGTGCGCCTCGGTATCTAAAGCTTGCCAATATCCCAACAGCCTGGGCAGGAGCTGCATGCATCTCTTGGATGAGTAAAACATCTTCGTATAGTGTGGTGTTTACATAAATTGTGCCGCTCACGCGCGCGCGCTCTCTCTCTCTCTCTCTGTCTCTCCCTCTCTCTCGCTTGCTCCCGGTTGCTTTCAACGCATCTTCCCGACACAGGCAAGCATAGTCATCCACAAACAAAAACACAAATAACATCCTTGTGCTTCTTACAAAAGGAAATGCGCATGTTTATTGACTGGTGCGCGTTGAAACGCACAAAACAACCTGCATTGTAAAAAAGTCCTGATCCCCATCCCTGTGACTCGCTTGGGATTGTTTGTGGCTCCACTGTAATGTCCCGAACACGGTCCCAAACGAAGCCCTTTTTGTCGCCGAGGAGCTGTGGTCGGACGCCTTGGTGCGAAAGGCGATATGAATATAGTGTATACATGGTACATATTGGATACTGATTGAAATCATAACATAGATATACATTGGATACTACATTGGATATATTGAAATGTGGGAATATGTGTAATATATACCACAGTGATATATATGTATAAATATGAACCTGATAGACCCACAAGCATGGTCGCAACTCAGCCTGGTGACTTAGTGCTGACTCTGGGTTTACCAACTGACAAATGCACTGAAAACAGCACTACCTACTAGGGGTGTTATCACCGCCGGGGAGTCTTCCAGTGTCATTGATCAAATAGCCAAGGAAAGCTCTTGCCCCCGAAAACCAAGCACTAATGTATGCATGGCTGTCTTTTGCTTTGTTGTCATCCTTTCAATATTTTCTGGTGCCTGTAGAGAACTGCCCACTCTTTGGTCAGCACAGCCAGGTGCTTCACAGGGCCCCGAGTGAGGATGCTTGGACTCCAACAATAACACTCTCGACTTGGACTTCTGCATGACACAGTGCGGAACATAATGTAGACCTGTGATTAATAACCCCCCCCTAGAATAATGTATTTTTTCCTGCACTGATTAATAAAGGCCCCCAGAATAATGTCTTTTGTTTGGCAGGGATAGTTGTAGTGGAATATGTTTTATTGTTATAGTTTACTTTTTCCCTTTTGAGTTTGCTGGGGGTTCAAGCTTAAAACATATTTTGCTTTAAGTAAACTTGTATTCATTCCCTTTCCTTTCCTTTTGATTTGCTTTACTTACCTAAGCTCTCTAGTCGTTGAGCGTTCCAAAAGTTTCCAAAAGTCAGTGCACACTTTCTTTACAAAATCCCTTATTCAAAAATATTGAAAAAAATCATTCAAGCAAAGGGGGTAGTCCAGCAAGCAGCTTTCTGACATTATTTAGGGTGGGGCCCTAGAATAATGTCTAGAGATTTCAAGCTTAAAACATATTTTGCTTCAAGTAAACTTGTATTAATTCCCTTTCTTGTCCTTTTGATTTGCTTTACTTACCTAAGCTCTTTAGTCGTTAAGCTTTCCAACAGTTTCCAAAAGTCAGTGCACACTTTCTTTACAAAATCCCTTATTCAAAAATATTGAAAAACAAAAAATCATTCAAGCAAAGGGGGTAGTCCAGCAAGCAGCTTTCTGACATTATTTAGGGGGGGGGCCCTAGAATAATGTCTAGGGATTTCAAGCTTAAACAAAATTTTGCTTTAAGTAAACTTGTATTCATTCCCTGACTGTTCCTTTTGATTTGCTTTACTTACCTAAGCTCTTTAGTCTTTAAGCTTTCCAAACGTTTTCAAAAGTCAGTGCACACTTTCTTTACAAAAACCCTTATTCAAAAATATTGAAAAAAATCATTCAAGCAAAGGGGGTAGTCCAGCAAGCAGCTTTCTGACATTATTAAGGGGGGGGCCCTAGTATAATAATGTCTAGAGATTTCAAGCTTAAAAAATATGTTGCTTTAAGTAAACTTGTATTCATTCCCTGACTGTTCCTTTTGCTTTGCTTTACTTACCTAAGCTCTTTAGTCTTTAAGCTTTCCAAAAGTTTCCAAAAGTCAGTGCACACTTTCTTTACAAAATCCCTTATTCAAAAATATTGAAAAACAAAAAATCATTCAAGCAAAGCGGGTAGTCCAGCAAGCAGCTTTCTGACATTATTTAGGGGGGGGGGCCCTAGAATAATGTCTAGAGATTTCAAGCTTAAAACATATGTTGCTTTAAGTAAACTTGTATTCATTCCCTTTCTTTTCCTTTTGCTTTGCTTTACCTACCTAAGCTCTTGAAAAGTTGAAGATTTCCATTGAGATTGGATGCTTTTCAAGGTCTTTGGATTGAGATTTCCATTAAAATATTGAGAATTACATTTCCACTTTATTGATTTCCTTTTACTTTAGTATTCCAAATGTCTTCAATTTGAGATTTCATTGATTCCCTTTTATTTTTAATATTGCCAAAGAAGACCAATAAAATTTAAATAATGATTCTTTTCATGTTGGTCCTTTGATTAGTTTTCTTATACATTATATTGGAGGCCCTGGTTGTTGAGGGGGGGGTTGATTAATCAAGGGACTACATTACTTGTTATTTTGAGCGGGCTTCCTATGGAACTTTGCCCGTACTAGTGGGATACTACGAGTGAGAACATATATATAAATTTGTCATAACTTTGGAAACTCCAAAGCGCCAACTTTGGTCTATCTATGTCTATCTGATCAACATCAGGACTCCAAATGAATCCAATGAATGTCCAGTTGTCCTCTGCGGCCTACGGAGGAAATGGCCACCATCCAACACCGCCCATGGCCGAGGTGCAATAGGTCAACTCTCGCAGCTTGGCTAACGCCCTGGCGAGTCACGACCGGTGGGAATGGACATCTGCACCAGGCTGGTGTGCTCATACGTAATGTCGATGTCGGATTGATCAGCGGCCCCCCCCTTCAAGGTCAACAAGGTTCGAGATTGGAGGTATTGGAGGACCACGTCCCCCTAATAAAGGTGATGACCTGATGATGGATGATGACATGATGACAAGATTAGGAAAGATTGGGATTGGGATGATTAGGAAGGAGAAGATGGAGGCCAAAGGGTGTGCTTGATTAATCGGGGGAGGGGCCCTACTATTAGAGGGAGGTAGGGCCTGTGTACCCTTTGTGAGCTTGAAAACCTTAAGATTGTGATAGCGTTTCAATAAGGGACAATGAAATAGTTGTGCTAGTGATATTTTTGTGTTTTAACAGGGAAGGATGAGAAGAAAAAGCAGGATGAAAAGCAAAAGGATGATGAAAATGATGGATGAGTGGACAAAAAGAAAATAGATAACAAGTATCTAAATATAAATATACTATAATAATAGTAAACAAATTTAAACTTCTTTTATGGGGCAGCTGGGCTTGATTGATATGGGGGGGTTCTGGCCAGGAAAAGGGTGATATCATGGGGATATCGGGGGCTACTTAATCCTAGGTTGACATTACCTTGAACACAAAGACTGCTGACGTCACTTGGGTCACTGATGAGAAATAAGAGATTCCACCTCAACACTACCAAAACAACACTCAGATTCTGATTTCACAAGTTCGTCGCTGATCTCAAACATTCTCAATCCAATAATCCATCAGTCGCCTGTGGTTCCCACCCGCAACAAGGATTTTGATGGTTGGTGAAGGCGTCGGCCAAAAGCAGTGATATCTCTTTCCTTCTCCTTCAAAATCCTTTTAATAGGCGTCAGCTCAGCAGCAAATAGCAGCAGCAGCCATGTCCATGATTGTTTTGACCACATGCCATCCTGGACAACTTGGCCCCACTCTCCAAACAGTCCATATACATTCTATATGGAATGACTGAAGTAGAACCCTTGATACCCCACCCCAAACCTTCTGTTTTGGATGTCGGTGGAATATGAATCTAAGTTCTCTGGCCTTCTCTGGATTTCGGATACTGGGCTCGCGAGCGAACCCTCGCAGCCACCGAGCACGCGGACGGAGCACGGCCTTGCACGAGGACCCAGGGTCAAAGCCGCCTGGACGCACGATGGTGTCATTCACCGTGGCTCAGGGCTCCAGCTCTGGGAAGGCTGTGGAAGTTCCGATGAAGCACCACAAGCAGGAATTGAACGATGTTCTTCTGGACTAGTGAATTGTATATGCAACCTGGTAGATGGTGCAGCAGTGCAGCCCGTTCCCATGACCAAAAGATCAAGAAAATGCCATGCAAGTCGTGGCATGTGAGGTTGCACGAACCAAATGATTCCTTTTGGTCTCAGTTAAGGCACGGAAAAACACAGGCTATCACAGGCTTTAAGCTCTGGTAACGCTGTCCGTGGGAGCCATCGGATTTATCTTGGTTCTCCATTGAAACGAACAGCTAGCATGGGATGAATGCAATGCTGTCACTGGACATAGAATCTATCGGCATTAAGGATCGCCTGTACAGCTGACACCTGTGGAGCAACAATAGTAGGAGCACTGTAGCAAATCTGGGTCACAGAACGGGAGTCCACGCTCCCTCCACGGGAGTCCCTCACTTCTTACGATTTGATGGCCCCACGGTCTTGAGCCTGAGCCTCTTGAAACTTTGCCTTCAACTCCTTGGAGCATGAGGAAGGCACCTGTGGGACCTTGGGGACCTTTCCCTGCAGGATCCTGCAGGGCTTTGTGGGAAGAAGTGGGGTCTTTGCTGTTACTAGTAGCTTCTTGTTCCATTCGTAGCACTGGCCTCCAACCTACTTAGGCCTCCACCTAATAGTGATGGCCTCCACCTAGTAGCTTAATGAAACATAATGAAACTGGGACCGCTTCTCGCTGCAAATCAGTGGACCAATCATTGGCCCAACGAAGCCCAAGGTGTCCTATTTGTCATTTGTTGTATCTTGATCCCAGAATTCAAGGGAAAAGGAAGCCCATCCGGTGGTTTTGCGGAAAAATTGGTACTGCTGCCAAATGAGCTATGAGCTGAAGCAAAAGATGACAAACTATCCAAAACAAATCAAAATCAAAATCGTCAAAGGACTGCACAAAGAACCACACAAAACAAGGGCCGGTCCCACACTGCACCTGCCTCTTTTGAGAGTCTGACACACGAGACCCCGCCATTTAGCATATGCAACACGGCGAAGCCATTAAAGAACTGCTGACTCACAAGAAGAAGGAGCCGCCAACACCTCACGCCTATAGCTCATATAGTATCAACATAATTCGCAAGCAGCATCACCTGATGTTGGACTCTTTGATTCATGCCACTAGGAACAAGAAGCTATTATATAGGGCAAATCAATCTCATCCCGAGCCACCAACCCTCAAAACGCCAAGAGTCATCGCTCAACATGGTCGATGGCATAATGCCATCCTGCCAAAGAGCTTCAGGTTGGGACTTAGGGTGATATTTTAGCCACATGAGGATCCACATGGCTTCAGATTCCGGATGTAGACCCCTTAGCGGCAGGATCTTCCCATCAGCACTTGCAATATTATATTGCGAACACCATGCGGCTGAGAATGATTGAGCCAAAAGCCCAAAAAGTTCTCAAAGTTTGGCCAGTGGTATGAAGACCAATGGTGTAGGGCGTAGGCCTCAGGCTTATGCACACGGCACACACCACTACAGTTGCAGGTTTAAACCAAACCCGAGGCTAGGAAATTTTTGGTTGGCCGGCTTTGTATGTTTGCCCTACATTCACACCAGGCTTGCACTGCACAGGTTTCCTGTCAAAGAGGGCCTCCAAAGCACCCTATCCCCAGGCATCAAATTTCCAGAGTCTCTTCAACCATCCTTAGCTGGCGGATTAGGATTGGACATGGGTAGAGCCTATTGTGGCAGCTTCCTGACACCGCGCAGTCGTTGAGCTTTCAGCACGCAGTCCTGAAAGCCCACACGCCAGGCAGGCCAGGAGACTAAGGAATTCGCCAGGTTCCCTGTGCAAAGCGACACGTGAGACGGTCCGTTGACTTTGAAGATGTGCATCCGATAGGTTGGAATTCCGGTGAAATATCAAACATTGAATGGTACCATCCCCACAGAGCCTTCCAAACAACATGATGCTTCATTGGAGATGTTCACTTCAACCAGGAGGGCTTTTCGGGTGCAGTCTGGTTAGAAGGAAAGGGCCAGTTGTGGGAATGCAATAGGCGGCATTGGGGTCTCTTGCCAAAATGAGGGCACATGGTGCCGAATCTTACAAAAAACACAAAAACTAAACACATGCTCTAGCGTGATAATCTCGCTTTCCTGGTAATCTAGTGATGCCCTTTTGCTGGCATTCTGCCAATGTGCTTGACTTGTTACTCCTGCTCTTCTGCCAAAAAAGCCTTCGGACAACTAGCCCTCTTCAAACTGTACGTGGCTTGGCCGCCCTCGCACCTGGCTCCTTAGGTTCCAGCACCACCTCAGCCATGGTGCACAACCATGCCAACCGCACAACTAAATCATCAGAAGCTCAAACAAAAGGAGATTGAGCTCAATCTTCTGAAACAAATAGACTGACAAAAGCTTCACCATCTACAGTACCTATTCCGTTGGATATTACGCCCTGGAAGATTAACATTGAACCTGAAAAACCATTGAAAACCACTGCTTGGTAGAGGAAAACAGTCGGACTCACGACCCGGGTCCATATTTAGTTTCGGGAGTGTACTCCTACTGCTGGCCAGTCTGACAAAGTCGGACGCCAAGGTACCACCGCGGCCTTGTTGCCGGCGGGTTCCCCAGCGCCTGCACGTGACAGTGACAGTGCCTTTTTCACACATGATGATTTCTCTCAGCTTGGAATTCCTTGCTTTGGGATGCTACTAACTTAGAACCTCTTAAAACCAAAATGACCCGACAAATACGGAGACATTGTCCAGGCGGGTACGATGTTTGTGCTTGCATAGTGGAACCAACATGCTGGAAAAGCAAACGCGTCGAGCGCGTCAGAAGTTCAGCTTACAAATTGAATCATGTTACTCCTGCTAGCCACTGTTTCTTGGGCCCACCATGGTCCGTAGATTACCTGCCCAACTGATCCGGACGGAAGGTCCCCTGCGCCAGTGTCCCCCAAGTCAGGGCGAAAGCCATGGGAACATGGTCCCCTAAGGGTCCCAATCCTGCAAAACACTCTGATGTGGACCCAACAAAATGTGGAAGTTGTTTGCAAGAGCTCAGTGAAAGAACTTTCAAAGATCAGGCCATCTGCTCTCTTCTCCCAAGTGGATTGGACGACGTCTCAACGATCAGATCGGCCTTTCGGGTAGTTGCTAGCAGAGAAAATCGTCGCTGCGATCATGTGCCTGGCGATCCGGTGTCGCCACAGGCAAGAGCGAACAGGAGCGAACACGGCCCACGCAGGTAGAGCCACATGGAAACCGGAAGGGGTTGCAAGGGTTCCATGCCAATCGCCGTGCGTCGTTCCAAATGGCAAGAAGTTTTCCACGTACTGATGGCTCTTGAAGCATCTGCTTAGCAACAAGAACGCATATCCCTCTCTTTTGCGACCTTTTGGAACCAACTTCATGCACATGCTGCATGCTCAGCACCATGGTAAAATTCACCCTGCTCACACCTTGTCAAAACAAACAACGTCAATTTGACTACCTCCCGATACGCCACAGTGTCCAGTTCCCTTTGTCCGATCAGGCTCTATGGAACGAATATATCTTTAGGATACCAGGAAAACATGTTGCTCTGTTGAACGGAAAGTTGCCATGCCCGGACCATGGTTTGGCAACTTAAGACCCATCTCTCATCCCCACGAGTCCCGCAACGCGCCGGACCCTTTGGAGTTGGCATGCTCCACGGAGAATCCTGCACAGTCGCATCCAAACAAAAGACAAAAACATCAAGCATCTTGGAGGTCTTATGAGGAAATTCCAACATGCATCTTCTGGAAGAGATTCTGCAGCTGTTTGGATCCTCCAAGTCAAACTGTATTTGCTGTGGTGGCCCGGAAAATACTTCAGGGCGCCACATGAAGCAAACAAATCATGGCCATCGTGCCGGGTTCACTGGTCCATTTGGACTTGAAGGTAGTAGCGTCCTTGCTCCTAGTAGCGATGCCAGGAGCCCCTAGTAGCTTCTTGTTCCTAGTAGTAAGGCCAGGAGCCCCTAGTAGCGTCCTTGCTCCTAGTAGCTCATCTGGGAATATATTATTCCAGACCGGTTCCATGTGAAGACAACGCTAGTTTTCCTTGGGTGGGTATTTCAACCACTATAGCCTATAGCCACCACACCCAGCACTACTGCGCGTAGACAGTGTAGGCTGAGCCTTCTTGTCGTTTCTCATGAGATCGCAGAAGGACCTTCAGCTTGTTGACCTTCAGAAATTCCTGTCATTGGCACCATCTGCACAGCTTCACGAAAAAACGTTGGTCAACTTCCTGACTCCCGCCATGCGGAGCCTGCTATTCTGCCCGGCGGGTCCTTAAACAAGAGTCCTTCCTGAGTTTCAACATGAACGCAGCGATTCCCACCACAGCCTGGGTGACCTTGCTATCGAAGAAGGCTCCGGCTCCACGCTTGCTGGGGCCCCGCAGGCCGGGCTTGGCCACAGGATCCTCGGATCTGACCGGGAGGAGCCTATGTGCTGATGGACACTAAGAAATGATTGAAACACTAACTGTCCATCGACCTCACCTGACAGAAAACCCTCCTTCTTGGAGGACGCTGCAAGAAACGGATTTGCCGCAGGCGACGTTTCACATGTGACGCCTTGTGGCAAGTGAAGCTTTCAGGTTCGGGTGGAGCTGGCGGAGCTACCGAACAATGATTTGATCGATTGATTCATATGATAGATTTCTTTGATTGGTTGGACGTCCTTGGTGAATCATGATCTGGCAGGGAAGGACCTTGCGACGTTTACCGGACATGTGGCCATATTCCACTTAAGCCAGGTGGCACTCCACAAGAGAGACACAAAGATTCGGTGCTGTCTCTGTCGCAGGCGTTCTTTCCTCAGCCAAGAGAACTGGCTCTTCGGTGCTGCATGTTACTGTTGGGTCAACATGGCAGTTTAGGCATCTCTCGAAGCACATAGGCATCTCTAGAAGCACATGATTCGCCAAACATGTTCTTTTTTTCTGCAGATTCCTGTTTCAGGACATGACTGCAGATTCAGGACATGGCAGCTGCAAGAACACTAATAGCTACCAACCCAGCCCGCTTCGTTATATTCTCCCATATGCTCCAAGTGCATTTCATTCTCCAAGGAAACTTCTGAAAGCAGAATGTTCCTTGAGATGACTGGGCTCCATCAGTCAATCAATTTCAGGGCTTTGCCGGATGCCAAAGCAGCCAAGGAACTCTGAGCTGTAGATGATGTCCTGGGAGTGAGAGGGAAAACGCATCATTTAGCAACAAAAGCAGGTACAGTATATAAATTTGATGACGATTTGCGTATTGAACATGTTCCCAGTGATGTTGATTCTATGACAATATCTGAGGTTCTAAGAGGTCCAAACACAGCATGGACTCAAAAGAAGAACTGCAAGAGCTGCGTGGAAACACAATCTGCACACCCCATTGAATCCATTGCACTTTTTTTGAAGGCAAACGCATTCCCGATGACCCAAACCAGGCGCACTAAAAGAACAACACCATCGGATCAACAGGCAAGGGCTTCTAGACCTTCCAAATGCAGCCCCACCCACCCAACCACAGGCCAAACAACCGAATGGACTCTCCAATGTTGTTTGGAGGCTTTCATTGACTATTGTATACTATAGTCACTATATGTCACTATAGTCAAGCATCAGCCAAGCCACTCAGCAATATCGCAGCCGAAAAAATGCGTATTGGCGTAGCGGCTTAGCGTATCCAGTAGTAAAATCCAAGCATCGATTTCTTCTTCTAATTCCGGTGCTCCAAAGATTCGCCTGGGTCAACGCAGTATACACGCAGTCACGCAGGAAGTGCCGTCAGGTCGTAGAGCCCGATTCGCATCATCAAAGCTGTCAGGTCTCTTCGTCACTGAGCAATGGACAAAAGGGATAGAGTTGCTCACACTATCCTGATCATTACAAAGGCCTATGACAGACCAATGGCATACAGCATTTTCTGTTTCCCCACCACAGCAAACACTGTTGCTTTCCTTGAAACATCTTGAAATTGCCCCAGTCTCAATAGTGCACAATGGAATCAACAAATCGAGCTCTCACTTATCACCAATCAGAAAGAGCACCAATGAGCACCATAGCATTTGTATAGAGATGTGTAGAGCATTTACCACACGTTACCGCCTTCTCCGTAGAGCTTCGCCTCCAACAACTATGTAGTCAAAAGAAGGCAACACGATGTGCTCCAACTCTTCGAAGGGAAGAGTTGTGTGATGAGTTCCCAAGGGGGTGGCCAACGGAGGATGAAGGGGTCCATTCTCCACTTATAACTTAGGCACTAAAGCCCACCGCTTTGGAACAACCCTTTTGGAACTCTTGGCGTCGCGGCGATGCAATTTTTATCAATTTCTGCTCAGAATGCAGCACCAAACACCAAACCAAACACACGTCGAAACACCCGAACCATCACGGGTTCTGAGACGACATCTCGTGAAGCTGCCAAGCATGATCAGCTGACAGATTGAAGATTCAGGAACAAATTTCCTTGCAAAAAAAGAGGGCAACAAAAACAAGGTCATGGTGGCTTGGAAAGGCCCCCAGGCCCCTGCTTCTCTAATTGTGCGAATGATGAACTTTGCGATGTGAACTTCCCTGACGCATCCTCCGCAAGAATTGTGCCGGCAGACACCACCACTTCGTCTTGCGCTCCCCCGGAAAAGCGCACGATGGCCTCGGTGAAGACTCGGTAAATCCCAAGTCCTGGAGATTTGGAGAATGGGCACAAATCTTTATATTGATATCATAGGTACTGACCCTAGAGATATGGATGCCCTGCCATTTAAACGTCAAACCGCCTAATATGATATATATATATAGTAATATCAATTATTGAATTATATTGATGTGTTTCGCGGCACCGAGTCAATAAAGCTGAAACAAGCTGATGCATGCTTGAATCTTGTCTGCGTTTCTATACTTCAGTTTCTCAACTAATTATATAAGGTCTTGGTCTAACTATAGACTATAGATGACTATAGTTAGACCAAGACGGCGCCGCTGCTGGCTAACATGAAGAACAAAACATCAACGGCGCAGAACATACAACACATCAACACTGAAAACTAAGATACGTAGGAAAATAGCACCTGGAAGACTGAAAAGGGACGGCTTTTCCACCGCCTGGTGCTTTTCCAGGGTGTCTTCCCCCACCTCCCCCCCATGGTGAACTGTATATCACTCGAGCTTCTAGTCCCCGACCTATCCCAATTGTGAGCGCCCGGGCATCATTGGACTTCCGTACTCGTTCAAACAAACGGCCTAGTCAAAAGCACGGCCAACACATGCAATGGACATGCAAAACACAGCAAAATACAGTATGCAAAGGGACAAAAGCAGGCAGCTGCTAAAGTCTAAAGTTCATTTTCACATGCCCCCGCAGTCGAGCCTCTTCGGGCTCCAAGTAGCATGATTGTCACAAACACATCACAGATCATCACAGCATTCTACCGTTACAGAAATGGGCAGCACATGGCTCCCAGAAGAAGGAAAATCATGGATCTTCTTACCCCCTAACAGCAACACCAGGAGGATTTGGGTGAAACTGCTGGATCCAACACGACGAGCTCAGCTTGTGCTTGCTTGAGTGGCTGCACCAATCCTGCCCGTTGCATTGAAACCATGACATCACTTGACATGAACTTCTCATCCTGGAGCAAATTGCGAGCCGAGTAGAATGGATGGCCTCCATCGCCACCGTCCACGGCACCCCTGAACTTGTTGCTGTTGGGGATGCAGTCATGAAAGCCGAACTGCCGAGTGAGATCGAACTTCTGACTGCTTGAAAGCTGCACTTCTTGCTTGAAATCCATGTCTTTGAGCACAGTGGCCATGATATTCAGCATCTCCATCCAATTCATTTTGCACTGCTCTTCATGCACTTCCATGGCCACACAAAGCGAAGCTGCACACAGCCCCGAGGGCATGCCATCCCTCTGAGGGAGATTCTCCGGTCTTCCAAGTCCAAGGATAGGAACTGACGTGGAGGTCTGATCGTCCGCGCAGCCAGAGATGCAAATCACATCTGCATCTGAATAGTAGCCTCCTTTGTCCAGCTTCCATCCCTTCTCCGTCATGTAGGGGCTCCAGCGGTAAGCCAAGTCCAAGCCACTGCCACTGTGACAGCAGTCCAGAATGCAGGTCAGCCTCACCCTTTCCGGCAAAGGTTGCACCAAGAGTTCATTGATCTCATCATCGACCAGAACCCCATTCTCATCAACATCACAAGGCACCAATGCCTCATCGAAGCCATCCTTCTCACGGTCGTGGAGATTGGGTTTCTGAGATCCATGTCCACTGTAGAAGAAAAGGAGGCTGTCACCTGCCACTGCGTCATGCGCCAGCCAACTCAAAGCAGCTCGGATGTTGCTCTTGGTCGGCTTCGTCTCCGGCTTGCTTCCCGCCCCGTCCTTCAGCAGCTTGGTGTGCTCCGGAGAATCCACGAAGCCCCACTTGTCACAAAGGTAGACCTTCATCTGCTCGGCATCGCGGTCGCTCTGAGGCAGCACATGGGGGGTCCCCTTGTAGCAAATGCCCACGAAGAGCGCCTTCCGTGTGGGCTCTCGCTTGGGCTTCCAGCCGGTCGTCAACGTACAGGCCACCCGGATGGCCGCGGTGTCCTTGACACCAGGGGCCTCGGGCTTCACCACATAGTCATCCACTGCATGCACACCCGGCTGCAAGTCGGGCCACTCCACAGTCACGGAGGCAATGCGCAGCGGCGAGCGGCCCTGGCGCGTCATGACTTCGAAGTGCAGTTTCAAGGCCTTGTCGTCATGATCCAACTCGAACTTGTTCTTCTCCCACTTGGGGCTGGTCGCGGAAGTGTGCGTGTCCGTGCTGTAGGTCTGGCCTTGATGAGTGAACTGCGTGAAGCAGTTTGGATTCTCGATGAAGAAGTGCCTTCCACACAGAACTTCCACCACGACAGGCATGGTGAAGGCTGTGCTATGGCTTTGCTGCCCTTGTAACAGGACTTGAGACGGCAATGAATGCTTGCAACAGGAATGCTTCATGAAAGCAGCATCTGCTATTGCATGTTCTGCCATGATGGCTTTGACATCCATCGACCGCTTTCACAATCAAATGTTTCTCACAAATTACTGACAGTTCAATTAAGTTCCAATGACTCTTTGGACAACATCGGATCAGGGGCGTCGTCGGATCACCAGGCCAGCATTCCAGCAGCCATTCGACAAAAAAAACACAGAACTTTGGGCCTCGCCTTTGCTTCCTTTGAACACTTTCTCGCCATCTTTGAGGCCCAAGTCCTGTTCGCACAGGCCCGGCCACGCCAGGTCAATGGAAAAAAAAGTCACCCACCGGGAAAGCTGCGGGACAGCTGCGTTCAGCTGGGGGGAAATGGCTGAAATTGTTTCTTTTTCGGTTTCTGAGCGCTTGGAGCATCCGGATGACAAACATCCACAAGCAACTACCTCAAAACTACTATGCACGACAACAAGTCAAACGAAACTGGCCGATCTCGTTGCCATCACCTTGACCAGGCTACACCGCCAAGGCTTTCCGTCCCACTTCAGTCTTTGGGTATCCAGAATTTGATGCGGCGCATTACGCAAGAAGGGCATACATTTCAGATCACAAAGATCCGACGGGTCAGGAATTGTCACAAGATACCAATGAAGGTACCAGCTGTCATAAGATACCGGCTGTCTGTGAGATTGTCTATCAATCAAGGTCTTTGCACGTGGTGGCTTTTCACGAGGCTGACTGCACCAACCTTCGGGCAGTTCAACATCCAGGCGCTAAGCACCGGGAAACTGGTCACTACCAGTTGGAGAGCTTCCATCTCCGGAAAAAGTTGCCTATCAGTCTATCTTCTTTGATGTCGGCTAATGGTCACCGAGAGCAATGATGAAGCTGTGAAGTTGCAAATCCTTGCTAGTCATGTATACACAATAGGTGTTAGATCGCTCAACAAAGTGATTATATAAACAGCCATGAAGAACTGAACCATAAAGACCATTATCCAAACGATCTGGTAGCGCCCTTGCTCCTAGTAGCGATGCCCTTTGTTACCAGTAGCTTCTTGTTCCTAGTAGTAGGGCCAGGAGCGCCTCTAGCAGCGTCCGATCGCTCCTAATGAGAATTAAATTGTTTGTCTATCCAAAGCCCGGTGATCCCACTCACCGGTCGCCGTCCTTTCGAGCGACCACTTTTTGCCCTTTGGGGTACCTGGCCGCGGTGGATCGGCGGGTCCATGGTCCACCGCAGGAGGCGACGCACCAACGTAGCTCATCTATTCTACCTACTGGGAAAAAGTGGTCCACCTGAACTGTTCGAGTTGTCATCTACTCTGATTCCACTGTAGTTGTACACAATGGCTTCAATCATGTCAAACTCCTGTCAGGCAACAGTTGGATTATGCCTCCCGCTTGCTGCAACCCATCAATGCTTGCCTGACCTGCTCTTTCGAGGACTGGTGCGGCTTTCCAGCTGAACAATCCATGCTATATAATGCTATATAATATATATATATACATCGCGGTTCGCAATCTGTGACGTATTCTACTTTTCCTATCACCTGTTCCCCCTTCAGTGACATCACCTATCAAACCTGGGATGCCCCGCATGGGTGTCTGTGGGAGGTGTCCCCACCCATCCCCCCTATGTATGGCACTGCGAATGAAGTCGTTAAGTTCGTCAACCAGCTGGCAACAGAAAGCTATTGTCTCCACTAGGACTGTAATCAAGCATACCCAAGCTGAAATGGAAACCACAGCCCACCAAAAGAATCCATCTCTCAGGCGCACCCCATCAGGGCACAATGCTTAATGGGCACATCATGCCGCCTGGATGGCGAGCGAACCGAACGTCGCGTCGTGATTCCCATGGCCGGGCCAAACAGTTTTGTGAACAAACACCAGACATCGAGCACAAAATCTTTGGCAAACTCCCCCCAAATTTTGTCAAGTAAACGGTAAAAACATATTCTGTAATTGTATACAATAATGCAGCGATTCATGCACATCAGCCAAGCAATGCTCCTTCTGGAGCAATTCCCACCTGATCTCAACCCTCTGTAACAAACCCAACTGCCCACCCATCACCCCACCGCCCATCATGCCTGTCGATGGCATTGATGTCTTGAAGCGTCACGATGGGATCCATCGGAAGCCCCCCGTGCACCACGAAGATCTCGAGCGGAAGATCAGGCGCCAAGGGGTGCATCTGCTCTAAGGGTGCAAGGAGTTCAGAACCCCTTCACGTCCAAGTGGCTCCTAGCTAATCGGAGCACTCAATAAAAGCCCTTCCATGATGTGGAATGCGGAACGCATGCCAACTGGGGCCAGGCTCTGATTTCCTTAATATCAATTAGATTCTGCGCGCGTGCGCCCTTGACATCCCCCACCTCGTTTCCAATGACGTGGCACAGTGGAAGCCTTACCGAACGACGACCAGCGACTCGCGACTGTCGGCATCTCACAAGCAAATACAACATGCTAACATCTTCGAAATAAGGCCAACCTCCGAAACACCCGTTATCTTCAGCATTGAACACGTGGGATCCACACCGTTAGGTATGGTCAGCGGCGATCCCATGTCTGCCTTTGCCAAGGCGGTGAAACTCAGTCTACCGGTCACCATGTGTCCCAGGGCCACTGATGGTCGATGACAACCGGACTCCTCATTGAAAGCAGAAGCAATACTTGGCTTAGCTGCCTTCGCCAAACTACAAACCTGCTGTGGTTCTCTACAAGCAACGAACACCTCCGACTCTCGAAAGCGGAAGGATCAGCCTCGTTGGGACTCAATTATTGTTGCGGATTTTCTCGATGCACCCTTCAAAACAAATGTTAACGTAAAGACTACCTGAAAAACTTCTAAACATGTTATTCTGCGCCAGGGTTCCCGTCTGCGAGTGTCTAAAACTATATCTAGATCTTCCGCAGGCGTTTACTTCAGCCCGAGTCTGAAAAGGATATTTTTCTGCCTTTTGCACGGAGAAGCGCCTTGCCTATGTTTCCGCCATTTTTGGCTTTGACGATTTGGCTCAACGTAGTACATTCGAAATGCTTAAAAGCTTGATTTTTTAACTAGTGTGACAAGTTGTGTTCAGTCATTTTGTCGCCTTTTTGCCGCGACAATTTGCCTTCCCGAAAAACACAAGTTACATATATATATATAATGATTCTGAAAACAGAGCATCCCCATCCATCCTCAGATCATTGATCATCCTTGTGACCTTCAAACAAGCTGAAAAAGAAAACGCCCGCAGGCATCTTTTTCTGCCCAAACCTTAAAAAGGCTGATTTTGGGGAACAAACTAATTTTAAAGTGTTTGAAGATCTAGGTAAATATTACATATAGTATTTCCAAAAAAGGTAAACTTGCTCAAAACTTGTTCGCTCCTGAGTTGGATCCATCAGGGACCACCCGGGCCAGGCCCGATCCGGAGCTTCCACTGGAGCTGAGAAGCTCTTTGAAGCTCCGCCTGCACAGGTAGTACCTGAAGCTAGCTCTTGGGTGATGGGGAAACTCATCACAGAAATCGCCAGCAAAAGTTCTCAACTAATGTTTGGTCTATAAAGGTTCTAATAACATATCCTCTAAAAGACCACTGGCATTGGGCCAGCCTGCCTGTGTTCTCAAACATATCCAATCGGCTATTCTACCCAAGTGGCATGGGCAGCGCGTCGGCGCCAAAGGCGCGAGTGCAGTGTGAGTGGACGAAGCCGTTGTCCGGCCTAGATGGCCAGTCTGCTGGGGATCAAAGGCCACGGTGTCTTTTGGTGGAATGAATGGACACAGGATATCTCGTTGTCAAAGTAGCCCAATCGCCTGAAGCCCCAATTTGTTGCTTCCGAACGTGGTCTTCCAGTGCAATAGATTGTAGTAGTATTGATTTGGAGCTTGGTGCAAATGGAACACCTTACAATCTACACAAGCCTGAAATCGCCTGTGAGGAAGTAGATAAACCATGCCAAGCTAAACATGATTCATTAAAACAATCAATTGTCCAACCTGCTTGTTCTCTATACCTGCTTTAACAGCTTTTGTCAGCATTGTAAACGTATCAACTATTTACGTTATTTCTGGCATGTGGTCGATCAAACTTTTAAATCAAAAAGGGTAAAGGCCATTCGAGCCTGTTGTAGAGTTGTGAGCAGGCTTCCCGAAAAAGCACCACGACAAAAGGCCCTTCCCCTGCACTCGTATTCTTGAACAAACATGGGTGGACGGTATGTATTTTCAAGGGCGACAATTGTGGTAAATGTCAAAAGCAAGTCGCCGGTCTTCTGTAATTACAAGATATTACAAGGCCTTTGCCATCATGACCGGCCTAGTATGTGTCGGTTGGGCCACCACGTGTACCGCAGGTACTTTCACTTTCACCCTTCTGATTTCCAGGCAAATTAAACTTCAAAACGGGGGCGTTTAACGACCTCGTCTACCATCAATTGTGTAGCCCGCTGTACCCCAAAAAAAAACGATGAACGAACTGATGAAATGCAATAACACAGCTGTAATGAAACATGTCTTTAAAAGAGTCAAGGGCATTTCGAAGGTAAACAGTGATATTCAAGATTCTTGGAAATCCTGTTGATCTTTTTCAAGGGCCCTTTCTCGGCAACCACCCCCTTGTGAATGTTTGGAATCACAGCCAGCCAGACTTTCCCTGAGAGTTGCTACTTAGCTCTTGAAGCTTCTGCCAAGTGGCAATTGGTTTTGTGACTGATCTTCATGGTTCCCGCGATTCAAATAGACCTTGGCTCCATGCTCGGATCCTCTGTGTGTGGCAAAGCCGCACTAACAAACAAATCATATGTACATACATCATCATACATCATATATCTAAAGGCTGCATATTACATCTGTGTTCAAAACATGGGGCCTGTCACTTTCCATCTTTGATCGAGCATCATCTGAGAACTAGGCAACCCATACACTTGAATGCAAAAATGGCCCAGCACGGAGCAGGAACAATGGACATTTGGCCTCTTGAACAGTCCAGTGGATCTTGACCAAGCCGCAGCCGAGGGAGATTTGATCTTCAATGCATACAAGAGCAGAAGAACCTGACGCAGCCACCGCGACTAGGTTCCCTGATGGCAACCTGGTGGCAACCAGCACTCGTCTAGACCCAAAAAGTCTTCAAACTCCTCTGATTTGCCGAATCTTGGCATCATCTCATTTCATCTCCATACACAGTTGCTGACAAAAACCTGCGCTGTCCCCAGGTATTTAGTCTAATTTAGAGGTTTGACTTTGTCGGTGGTTACAAGAACTGGTCATCACTATATATTAATTATATAGCCCCGACAACTCGCAGCTTTGTGCTGGTCCCTCAACAGGGGCAAAGACCACAACGAGTTGGTTGACACCACAAAACCACCACGTTCTGTCATGTACTAACCCATCCAAACATCATGTACCCATTGCAAAGGGAGGTGGTTCGCTTCGGGTCAAAATGGCTCGTCATTGGGCTGAAGGACCAAGAAACATGTGACTGCCACACCACACATCAAGACCCCCGCAGCCCGCGTCGTGCCCCGACGTGGAGGGACCTGCCTCGGGGCCCCAGGTGCCACGATCCACGAAGTCGCCGTTGAACAAAAAGCGCACCTGGGAGGTGTTCTGCACGCGTCCGCCGTCCGCGGAACAGATCTAATATATATAATAAATCGTGCGAAAAAGAGAGAGAGAAACACACACACACACACACTCTCGTCTATTCATTGCATATATACATATATATACAATACCCCTTGGTACAACGCGTGGGGGTTGAGAACGCCATTCTATAGCCATAATTTGGTTTACCAACCTCTGGTAGCAAAGTGCCCCACTATAGAATCTAGTTGTCAACCCTTGTAGTGTACGGCATAGTTTCTCTATAGAATAAAGGGGTCAACCTTGAAGGCACTAATGTAACAGAATTGTAGGTTCAAAATCTGAATTATCTAATTGAAACAGCCAGGGTTGGTTTTCATT